TAACTTTTCCCATTAAGTCACATCTATTGAGGAGAATCAACGTGACCAATTCCAGGAGGAGTTAGAAAGGTGAAGGTGAGGCAGAGGCTTGCAGGCTGCTCCTTTCCAAGCATCGCAGACACAGCCCCAGGGCAGAATGAGACGGGAACCCCCCCCCACCTCCTGCCCAGTAAGAGCGGAGCCAGGGGCCTGTGTTGTGCTTGCTCGGAACCCCAAGGAGCATGGCCATCACCACACTCCATGCAGGGGTGCTGGAGCACAGACGTGGCACATGACCCCTAGGTCCATACGCTGGGAAGTGAGAGGCTAAGCCCGTACCCTGCAGCCTCCAGAGCCCGATTCCCTGCGCTCTGCCCACCTCCGAGGTCCTGTCTACAGTTCTCATGGGGCTTCTCCACAGTCGTGATGAGAGGGAGGGAGAAAGCGACAGGCTGCCAGCCTGGTCTGACCACTGGGCACTTACCCGGCTTTCCCGGGAGGCGGAGCTGGCTCCCCCTTGGTTCTGACAGGTCTGTGTGGCGAAGGCGTTGGAGATGGGGACGGGGATGAGGAAAAGGACCGGGACCTAGGGAACAAACAGAGTCGTAAGGAGGGAGCACCACGGTGCCCTGGTCCGCGCCTGAGCACACAGGAGATGCCACCCCAGATTCCCGGAGAAGGCCACTTGTTTCTACTTGTTTTCCTCAGGTTTAAAATGGGCTTCAGACAGTTCTTGGTCATTTTGTAAAATACACCATCGGAGGGGAGGGGAGAGTGCTGAGGGGACAGCTGGTAACCACGCTGGTGAGTCCTCTTGAGGCCCTGGGAACCGTGGGGCATGCAAGCTGTGTGGGCAGGATGGGAAGGGCTCAGGCTTTGCTCTCCATGCTATCAAACCTCAACAAGGAGGCATACAGCCTGACTGGGCCATGGCAGCACGGGCAAAACAGAGGGCCAAGCAGGGCACCTGAGACCCAGATGGCTGGAAGGTGGGGGTGATGAGGGTGGCCTTGACTGTGGCCAGCAGCACAGGCCCGCGAGATGTGACCATGCTATGAGGTAGAGGCTGACCTGGCCCGGAGAGCGTTCCAGCTGAAGGACATTGTGACGAGTTCAATTTGGACACAAGTTGCAGGTGTCAGTAGGATGGACAAAGTGCCAGGAAGGGGGCACTGGGCCTGGAGGAGTTCCGGGAGGCGTGGCCTAGCCAGGCTGCTGGCCCCACTGTCCCAGATTCACACGAAGTCACACAGGAGGCGACCCTTTAAAAGGCTCATGGATTTGCTGGTCTTTTCCCTACTTAGAAACTGTCATGTAAGATTTTCGATATTTTCAGCCAGGCAATGCCAACAGCTAAGATCAGGCTCTTGCAGTCACACATGCTGCGAAGGGTGAAGACAGAGCCACATAGAAGAAACACTCGTTTCTTCTCCTGTCCTCCACTTGCTGCCCATGGCTGGGCCGCCCACGAGACAGGAAGGAATGCAAGGTTCCCTTCCAAGGAGCT